TTGCCCAGTCCAAATGAAGCGTTTAAACTCAGAGGACACGCCCACCCCCTCCTAGCCAATGAGAGGAGAGACACTGAGAGCGGACTCCGCCGCCGCTAAGAGGTAGAAGGGGCGGTGCAGGCCAACTGTGAGAACGCCGGTGAGCGCGAGACATCAGGAAACGGTGGGCGGGGATTTCCCTGGGAGGGGCGTGGCTGAGTAGCTTCAATCAGGTAGGGGAGGTGCTGATGGACAAGCTCACCATCCAATGGAGATGAACATCTGGAGGAGAGGCGCGGCCCATGCTCTGGAGGCGAAGCTGCGGGAGAGGCGAGTCAGGTGGCCGAGGATGCCCGGCGCCAGGAGCTGGGGGATGCGGCGGCGGCTCAGGAATGCTTGGCACTTGCCCGCCAGTCGGCTGGATTGAGGCAGCCCCCGCGGATCCCCGCCCGTACCTGCTGCGCTGCCTGGATCCGGCTGCATGAGCAGTGGATGCGGCGGCGCCCGGCTTCTGCGGGCGCCTCCCCCTATGGAGCAGCCGCTCCATGGAGCCCTTCACAGCGCGCAGCACCAGTCCGCAGCCGGAGGCGGGGGCCGGGGGTGGCAGCAGCAGCAGCCCGGGGGAGGAGCCCCCGCTGGGCGGGGGGCTCTGGACAGCGGTGTTCGAGTACGAGGCGTGCGGCGACGACGAGCTGAGCCTGCGGCCGGGGGACGTGGTGCAGGTGCTGTCTCAGGACTCGCTCGTGTCCGGGGACGAGGGCTGGTGGACGGGGCGGATCGACCAGCGCGTCGGCAGGGCGGGTGTGTGTGTGTGTCCGCCCATGGGCGGCCTAGCCTGTCACCTCTTCTTAATTTTAGCCTGCGAGTGACAGCGGGGAGTCGCTTTCTCTGTGCTGAGGAGCCTTTGAGGACGCTCCGGGGCCGCCCCGCCTGCTTGGCCAGGCAGTGCCAGGCTCTTGCTGCTTAAGTATATGATTTATAATGACCTTGCCCTTTAAAGGGTGTGTGTGTGTGTCCGCCCATGGGCGGCCTAGCCTGTCACCTCTTCTTAATTTTAGCCTGCGAGTGACAGCGGGGAGTCGCTTTCTCTGTGCTGAGGAGCCTTTGAGGACGCTCCGGGGCCGCCCCGCCTGCTTGGCCAGGCAGTGCCAGGCTCTTGCTGCTTAAGTATATGATTTATAATGACCTTGCCCTTTAAAAAGTCTACAGTGACTCCTCATCTGCCTCTCCTGGATTTTGGCATTGGTGTGGAATTATCTAGGCCGAGTGGGGCTCGCTGTCAATCTGGTACAGGGTTGGAGGCCACAGACACAGCTTTTCATCCTCTTTATCCTGTCACTGGCAGCAAGGAGCTTGCAAACTAGAAGTTAAGATTCTAGGATCCTTATTTGGCAATAGCTCATGGAAAGATTTCATGTAGATAAAGTATGATATAAAAATCTGTTCATTAACCCAAATATCTATTACCTTTTGTTAAAATAAACTGTTTTTAAGAGTTTGGTATGTTCATGCAGTATAACAGAAATTTAAGGGTTAAAACTCCCAGGATTGTTTATGTAGTTTGGTGTTTGTTTTTCCCAACATACTTAGCAAAGGGTTGGTTGGTTGGAAGGAGACCAGTTAAATCTTATTAGAAATGACAGTTGTGCTGCTGCTACCTATTCCATGTATTCCTTTGTTAATACTGACTTTTTAAGACATGTCAGCGCACATTCCTAACATAAGATGTAGATTAAAATGGTGTCAAACTCCATCCTCCAGTATATGCGTGAGTCTTATTGACATCAGGCACTGAGGCTCACTCCTTTAGTGATCTCTCTTGTACCCACTCAAAGCCTTGCTGTCTTAAGTGGGGCTCTGAAAGAGTGCACATATCTCTTCGTATTGAGTTTATTGCAGGGTTGGGGCCTGTAGTTGTTGGGTAGCCTAAAGTCATTCCACATGCCCTCAATTTATTAATTGCCAGTTATAGTTGAGGAAAGCATTCTAGAATGTCTGTTTGTCTTCTCATCAATAACTTTTTCATTAATGATGGGAATTCAAAGTCAAAATTAAGATTTTTTTTTTAATAAACGCATTTTGTTTAAGGAAGTGGTAGACTATACAGAATGCTCATAAAGTATACAAAAATGTTTATACAGAACAGTGAACTTCTTCAGGGAAGTTACATTAAAGGTCACTGAATGTCTTTCTCTGCGGCTTCCTGTGTGCTCAAAAGTATGTTTTAACTAGGATTAACTAGTAACTCATGCTGCCTATGGAAGAGCCTTGGTTTAGGAGCACCAAGAAATAGACACTGTTCAGATCACTAAAACTGAGTAGTGGAGCAATGATTCCGCCCTCCTCTCCTCAGCAGCTGTATGGTCCAATCTTTATGCAGGGACCAGCCCAAATATTAAGTGGCATGCTTGATATATAGTGTGGAGATATGGAAAGGAATCCCTCCATTTCTGCTTCTCGGAGGCTGCCCAAGCTCCTGTGGCCCCAACCTTTTGTTGGAAATGCAGGGGAAATGTACATAGCAATGGATTCTCCAACCCTGTTCCATTCTCTGTGCATTGGTGCTCAGAGAGCTGCTGTAAGAGTACTTCTTCCAGCAGCCCCAAATCTTGCTCCACCAGTTGCCTGTGCTGTGTAGACCCTCTTTGT